TGTGATAACGGCCCAACAATCTTGATGGAAGGATGTTATAAAAGCTGAGAATAGGATATGGGATGCAGGTCTAAGCCAAGCTCTCTTGTAAAGAAAAACGGACCATTGAGTTGATAGAGAGTATTGGATTAATAATGCCCATCTTTTTTTGTCTAAGCTCCGCAAATGCAATTCCAACTGAACTTAATCAATGCTTGGAGGTCAACTACGGTTCATGTTATTTTTCCGCATTTGATTCTTTTATGCATGAATTTATGTTCTTCAATGCATGATTAGATCATACTTAGTTTTATCATTCCGTGCCGTATTTTCGTGTCGAGTTTGGGTCTAATAAGGACATGGGCGATATTTGTTTTCCCGACTCCGCTCTAATCATTCGGCGTGTCTCGCTCCACCAGATCGCGACACATGTCTCTTCAATCCTCACCTATCTTCGAAAGCTCTCTCGTGGCTTCCCTCTCTCTTTGCCGACTATATCTCGATGAGGTCTCAGCAGTCTTGCTATGATATAGCTAAGATCTCAATAGTGATCAATGAACATTGAGAAGGTGCCTCCTCTAGAGCTAGTCTCCTTGACGAGTCTTATCCAAGACGATAAAGCAGAGCTCGCCTGTGGCCTCAGGCTCCATCAACGGTGATGAGCCTCAAGGTCTGCGCAAGCTTCCTCCGCTACAAGCACCCAAAAACTTTTCTGGTTTACCCTATTATTGTAGAAAAAGAGATCAATTAATCATTTGTAACATCCGTAATTTCGGATCAAGGGATTGGAGTATTATCTTGTGTTCACAACACAAAGTAAATCACCTAAGTGTCGTGATACGATGATCAAGACAACGGACATGAACCGAGTCAGGGATAATAGATCCTCATCTGAAAACATGACATGTTCATCTATGAAAGAAAGTAGCATGTCAAGATAGAGTGGAGATAATATTCGAATTGTTCTGAGGATGCTTCCTACAGTTTTTTACAACTAAAGAGTAACTAAATGTGATTAACACAAGTAAACTTGTTGTATCAACACGAGTGACGTGTGTTAACCTGTTTTATTAAATGTGTCAAATGATGTCATAAACGGGTCAAAAGGATCAATGCGTACACAATATGCTTATCATTATGTGTACAAACCCCTGTTTATAGTGTTCATATGCGAACCCGATTAGTGTCATTCCAAACATTCCTAATTACTTGTCATACATGTATTATGATAATCTGTTGACCTCAGTTCTAACTCATTATTTTCACGTAGCATTGGATATCTAAATGTGCCGGCAAGAGAGCATTTCCCATGGTTGCACGTAAATCAAGAAAGACGGGCATTGCCCTGATGTTAATCTGAGCGAAAGACTTTACAATCTGAAAAGCAAATCCATTGCATCTCAAATCAAAAACACTTAGTGACTCGATCAATCAAAGTTGGGGGAGCGACATTTCATAGGTTATTTCTTGGAGTGCTGAAAAGGATTTTACAAACACGACGACATAGAAAAGGGCGACAAAGAGGGGAGGCACTGCAAAGCGTGCAAACAACCACGTCAGATTTGTACGAAGTTGGGGTCGGTTGATTGAGAGAATCCACAACCACCTCACATATTTTTTATTCACCCATTTTCATGTCGTGTCGGAGGGCTTAGCTTCGATCATTGCCATGGGGTCTCCAAACATGAGCAGGCACGAAGCATAAAACAAAAATAAAATAAAGAAAAGCGACTGAAGAATCGAAGAGTTCGTGATTTACCCTAAGGATGATCTTGTCAATTTTCGTAAGAGCCATGCTACATTTTTCTTTTTATAATCGTAAAATACGGACATGAAGATTCGGTTATCTGAAATTTCATGCAACATAATGATAATGTATCATTTTGAAGCGATGAGAATCAATACGTGCATTATGGAGGAAAAATTACCAGAAAAGTCTTAAACTTATTACAACTATACCAATTCAATCCTAAACCCTTTTTTGCCAATTGAGTTCTAAACATTTTGCATTGGTGCCAACTTAGTCCATATAATCAATTTTGATTGAAAATCGCTGACATAGATGTAGGTCGTCTTACGTGGCACAATTGGCGCCGATGTCAGCGTCAGCCATGCCACGTAGGACGCCGGCGTCCATATCAGCGATTTCTGTCCAAAATTGGATAGATGGACTGAATTGGCACAAATGCAAAAGGTTTAGAACTCAATTGACAAAAAAAAATGATTTAAAACTAAATTAGCATAATTGCAAAAGGTTTAGAACTTTTTTGGTAATTTTCCTGCATTATTGATTATGCTGCATTTGGATCATCTCGGCATGATAGATTTCGGAAAAAAAAAAACCCAATAGTTGTATAGTTTTAGAAATAAGAATCCATGCTGACTTGTCCTTGTGCCATGTGAACAATGCATTTTTAATGTGGTACAAATGTATCTGAAAAAATATAGCATCATCAAGAACATATGCAATTAAATTAACAATACCGTGTTCTGCATTTTCTAACTCTTCCATATCTTTGGCATCATTCCAGGTTTCTAGACGGAACAACTATTTTGATTGGACGCCAAAAGAAAAATGTATTTCTTACTAAAAACAGAATATAGTCTGCTTCACACCGGTCGTTCGTAATGCATCCGAACTTGTTCATATAAAGATTCATTGAATCGAAGGTTATATAATTCCCGACAGGAACATCAAACCCGTTGGCAAGATTTTTGTCTCCTATTCTTGGAATGGAGATATTTTTGCTATTATATTATTCTTGTTTCCTATTTCTGGTGTTTCCTTCTTTATGTAAAATGGTTGCCTGTAATCTTGTTGTGAGCAACCGTATGCTGTATATATGATGAATAATGACAATCTACTCTATGAAAAAAAGGAAGAGAGGGAGAGTTTTTTGTCCGTGGATGTAGGCATATTGCTGAACCACGTTATTTCCTTGAGTTATATTTATGTGTTTGATCCTGCTAAACTTCAACAAAACCGATGCAGAGGCGACTTTGACATGGTGGCTTCATTGAAGAAGAATAACGTGAGAGAGGCAGTGAAATGAAGACTGATTTACAGTATTGACTCTTCACAGGAGGATGGGATAAGTTTCGTGGGACGAAACATCAGTGCGGAACATATCGAAGTTCCATATAAATCGCTTTTACTGTACATTGAATAAGACCCTTTGTGAAAAAACCATAATTTAGAGCTCAATTATGACGCCTTGTAAATTAAAATTTGTTGGCTTAACCTAAACATTATTTAGTGAGATGGCCAAACTGTCATATGAGATCATGTGGCCGGTAGGTCAAACCTAGCCAACCACAGAAGAAGCCGAACAGTTCTTTATTCAATGAAAGCACATACCATTTTTCTAAACCTCCCTCTTTCTGGGTCCACTAGGGCTCGAATCCAAGGAGGAAAGTTATTGTTTATTGCTCAATCAACAATCGAATTACAGGCTGATCGATGATGGGGAATATACCAACCCATTGGATTTAGAGTATGTAACTCTCAGAGGAGCTTTTGAAAAGGAAAGATCTTTCGTGTACTCGTAGCAAGTTAATTACATTGCACTATCAATTAAGGGTAAGCATGGTTCAAGGTAAAACTAGGAACTGGAGAACCAGCTCAAAGTAAGTTTCCGGTTCCAAAAATTTGGGAATCGGTTCTGACAAATAGGCTTTGGGTTCCAAGTTTTCACCTGGAATCTAGAACAAGTCTTTGTGTTTTTCTTGTTCTATCTCTTCGTGCAATCTTGCAGTATTCCATTGCGTCCGATGATGAGTTTGTAATCTTGAACCTCTAGTATGAGCTTCCATTTCCAGCGATATCCATGATTAAGACTATTACTTTGTTAATATTTCATATTATTTGTATGTCTAAATATGAGTTGTGACAGCGGATTGTATCAGCAAATAGTGGTCATTAAAGGTGAGGGTTCACTACAATCGTTCAATTAAGAATATAGGTGAAATGTGGATAGAACCTGGAACTGACCCAGAAACCTATGATAAGGTAGGTTCAAAGTTCCAAAAATTTAGAAATTGTTTCCCACGGGTAGGTTCTAAGTGAAACCTGGATCAACCCTAGAATAGCTCACCCCTACTGTCAATGCATTGAACTCTTCGAAATTTTATTTTCCATAAAGGGTCTGTTTGTTTCCCCAAAAACTTCTTGTTGCTAGAAAATGCTTTCAGGAAATTCAATTTTAGATAAAGTGAACCGTCTTCTACTGTTTGTTTGTGCAGATAGCAAGTTGAAGGTGCCATGGTATTTGATGATAAGTAAAATCCTTGAAAGGCAGCTTGTTACAAACTAGAATCGACAATTTCTTTGTTTATTTTGAAATCCATCGAAATAATATGAATTACAAAAGAAAATTAAGAAAGATATTTGAAATTATATTTACAAAGTATTATATGGGAGAGTGTTATTTTTGGGAATGTAAAATCCTTGAAAGGCAGTATAATGGTTTGCTTTCCTAGCTGAATATGTTCTTTGTTCAGGACCAGTTTGGGGGGCTTTAAGTCATCAAGATAAGCCCCTGTTTGATTTATCCAACTTTAATAAATTAAATTGTTTTGATTATATGATTAAAGCTGTTGGGAAACTTAGGGAACAGAACATGTTACTATTCTTAGATTCTTAAAGAATAATAACTTTTATTCGCCGGTGATGCGCCGATCAGATATTTGAATTGGAATGATTACACTAAGTAACAGACAATAAGAGAGAGAGAGAGAGAGAGAGTATTTAACTAGGGTTTCCTGGAAAGATAGCATGGTGTCGTGGGTGTATGTATGCATGTCCTCCATTTCATACGAAGCATCTACCAATCAAGAAGCCATAAAAAAGAGCCACCATAAAAAATAAAAAAAAGACCAGGGGGTCTCTGTTAGGTTTTCATTTGTGGCCCAATGAAGAAAAAGAAAGACAAAAAAAGGAAAAAAGATGCCCATGCCCTCCTCGATCACTTATAAAATCTCTCTCACACACTGTTGCCTTGTATGACTTCCCTAAATCTCTCTCTCTCTCTCTCTCTCTCCCTCAAGATCTCTCTCTGGTTTTGGCATGAGATCAGCTCTCTCTCTCTCGCTCTCGCTCTCTTTCTCTCTGTGACTGTATTTCTTTCTGTGTGTTCTTGTTTCTGATGGCTTTCACTTAGTCAGATGCTTTTGCTTCTCATTTCTCTAATTTCCGGGAGCTATGTTTTTGTCAGGGTTCGGGCCGATTTAGATCTAAAAGGAGATGTGATTCTTCTCCTGAAAATTTTGAGTTTTCGATTTCTTTTCCCTGATTTTTGCTTTGGGAATTTGCGAGGTTTGGCCAGAAGATGAGCCAAGAAAAGTTCCAACAGAGTCCCTTTCTTCCCGTTAATTTTATATCTTTTCTTTTGGGTCAATCCGGGGTAGTTCTTACTCCTGGGTGCTGTTTATTAATTTTATGTGATTTATTAAATATATAGTACGAGGATTTACTGTTTTAAATATATGCGATATAGAGTTCAACATGGCAGAGTCTCTCTGGGGTGCTCTTTACGTAAGACCCTTTTCCATTGTTTCTTCAGTGTTGGTCAAAGCCAACAGGCTAACGCGTGTTCCTTCGTTTTCTTTGGCCCCTTTGTGTTTTGAAGATTTTCCAGCATATATAGACATATCGAATGCTTCTTCAGCATTTCTCTTATGTTCCTTAGAAATCCAGATATTACTGCAAGCGTGGGTTGATATATGGATTAGTACGCCTTTATAGTCGTCGGTTGCAGGTGTAGCATCATCAAGATTCACAGGCGAAAATGGACGGCGGTGATTGGATTGCCCTTTGCCGAAAGTCCATCTGAAATTGAGAATCTTGATGATGCTGCATCAGCAATAAACGACTCTACGCGACAATCTCGATGTCCCTTTTCTTTGTTATTCTGTTGCCTTAAGGTGGGTTAAGATTAAATTTGTTTTCCCTGATATTTATTTATTAAAAGATGCCTATAGATTCTATTTGCACTTTGCAAAAGGAGTATGAGATTCAGATCGGAGCTGCTTAAAGATACTGAGAATACTAACTGCCTTCAAAGCTTTGTGGTTTTTTTGACTGCGCAGATCTACAGTTGAGTTTCCTCCAAAGAAATATGTGAAACCTACTATATGTGAAAAAAAAAGGCTTATGTATCACAAGTTGCATGAAGGCATAAAGTTGGGATGTTGCAGAGAGTGAAGTAAAGCAAGAGAGAGAGAGAGAGAGAGAGAGAGAGAGAGAGAGAGAGAGAGAGAGAGAGAGAGAGAGGAGTAACAGAAGCTGGGAACTGATGAGATTTGCCGCATGAAATATGTTCACCATGCTCAGGAAAGTGTAAATTCCCTTCAATCTCGTAGATTTCTACTTTTGATTCTAATTTTTTCTCTGGCATGTTTGGCCAGTATATAAGATTGATTCTTTGCTTCTTTTGGTTATTTGTCTGTTGGTCAGACATACGCTGGGGTATTTTGTTTCTCCTCAGTTTGTTTGGTTCATTAGCAGCTTAAGATGAGTACAATTTGTTTGTTTGAGTACGGAGGCCAACATAAAAATGTTCATTTGGGTCTTTTGCGATCTTCATCAATAGATTTTAGAAAGTTTTATCTTGTATGAAACATCAATGGGTGGTTCAAATTTCATGAAACAACGATGGAACATCTAATTAGGATCAAATGTGTTAGCATGTTCATACATAAGTTACAAAAGATCATATTGCTTGTCATAGAATTTCATCGAGTTTCCTGTCGAATTTGATGGAACCACATTTCCTTAAATCTAACCAGTTGACCATGTCCGAGAAAATATACATAAGCTCATCACTGAAAGTGCTCTAACTTTCCTACCACTTCTGTCTTGACTTAGATATGAATCAAACTGTATGATCTTTTCCTGATTATTTGTCAAACTATATCTTCTCAGCAAAAAATGGCCAACTAAAATGCCAGTGAGAACTCCGCAAATGTTTTTGTGGCTCAGAAATTAGTGCATCTTTGAAATCAGGAACTGGTTTTTTCTTCTGACCTATGATGTGCCATTCAAGGTGGGAGGATGTCCAAAATTTGTCACTGCCACATTTTGCTTTTGCTAATATCTGCACAAAAATCGACCTATCAATCTCATTGGTGTGGGCCCAATCGAAACAGTTCACAAAAACTTCTTTTCACCTCTGCAATTGAAATGGTACTAGAAAGTATTTCAAAATATCTCCCATTTTCTGGTTCATCCATCATGACAGCGACAAAACCAGACAACTCAATTGAATTTATGGAAATCCGTGTGCCTGAATCGCCTTACCAATCTGGGAACACATTGTGACCAGTCCTATAATAAGTTAGGTTTATGTTTCCTGATAAAGAAACTTCTTTTAGATAATTACCTTCGTTGACTAGATGTACAAGCCTAAGGACAGCTCATACATTGTCAAATTTTATCCTAAAGTCAAGAGATGCTATATATGGTGCAAAGGGAATTTACTTTATGACGTGTGATTTTTCAGGAGCTATGGAGAAGGGATGGATCCAGCGTAAGCAAAGATATATTGGTCAGGTATGGCTTTACCTAATCAAGAAACAAGAGGATCAAGGGACGTGGCATTCGCGAGTGTCAGAATGCATTGCGTAACGAAGACATTTTGATTCTATTCCTTTTGCAACTTCGTAAAGTTTTCAAACTCTCATATATGTTCTCCTTCAGGTGAGCCTTATAGCATTCAATGTAAGTCATCATCAGGTCGAACCTTTTTTTCTTTTTAACCATGGGTACGAGCCCAAAGGACCAACTACCTGAATGTCCATGGGTACACCCTGTAAGTGCCATGAAATGTTGATTAAAATGGAACATTGTGTGAATACTGCCAATCTTTGTAGGTTGGATATACATCTCAAGAATGGTTGTCAATACTTTTGCACAAACCAGCTAAAGATTATCTCTCCCGACGTTCTTCTTCAATATAATCAAGCATAATTTTATGACATTCCTAGGGCAGTGTAAGATATATTAGTCTCTGTGTGTGATCCGCCCTTTCAAAGATAAGCCGGGTGGGATTTGCCAAGATTGAGTTGAAGAGTCACAATCCTTTAATTGTTTTCCCCTTCATACTCACCCGTTTTCCGTGTGTTACTAAACGTAAAGTGTTTATGCTTCTCTTTTAACCTCCATTGACGGTAATCTTCTGCAAGATTTGCAAGATTTTCTGTTCCCAGTGTATCCGACTTCATGGCCATTGCTTTGGATGCTTGTCCTATTAGACTTCGAAGATGAACTTCTTTTCAACTGGTGCAAAATTCATATGGGATCTCTAGTCCAATATTCTTCTGTTACCCTTCTTTTTTTTCGCTATGCGTGATCCACGCGTATAGGATCCGATTATACTCATCATCTGTGCGTTAGACAGCTTTTGCAGCAGACAGAAAACTTATTACTTGTCTGAAGAGCTCAGCTAGAAGAGATGTCCATAAGACAGGTTGTGACTTTGTGAAACATAGTCGGATGTCCATGTATAAATGTAATCCCTACATGAAATGAAAATTCTTTATATGACTCTTTCATGACCTCTAGCTGCAGTAATCCTATGTTTTATAATCTTTCCTTTTCTGGGAGTTCTCTGATTGTTGTTCTCTTTGGGTTTGTTTCCGAGGAAAACATGAAATTACCACGGTCCGATTCCAAGTTTCATGCGTTCATGCGAGGTTTAATGTTGTGAATCAATTTAACCATCACTAATCTAGAGCCCCATGAAAATGTCTTCTCCGATTTTCCTTGAAGGATTATCTGTCACAGTTCTTTCGAGGTTAGATTTACTGTGTATATTCCCTTTGATGCTTTTCAGATGGATTCCCAGTCCCCGTAGAAAAGGAAACGAAATACCCTTATTTTAGTCACCGATTTCTCTTTTGGAAGCTGCGAAAGAATATGAAATGGACTCGTTCTATGTAGACGATTCAGTGGATATATAGAGTAAATCATGATGCAAAAGCCATATGAAAATTTGTGCTTTTAACTCCTCGGGCGGCTAGTTGGGACACGAGGGGTTTCCAGTTGGGGGATCGAAGGGTATTTATTCAAATCCCATTAACCAAATGCAAACCGTTTTAAATCAGGCACGTATCTGAAACCTGAACTTGACCAGTTTATAGGGCTTGTACAGTATATTATGAGTCTTCAGATAACTAAATTTCTACACTCGTGTCCCTGGATAATTAAGAAAAAAATAATGCTTTTTTTGTGGGATGTTGCGTGTATTTCACATTATTTGAGTATACGGCTGACATAATCCACCGTACTAAAAATCTATGCGAAGATTGTCCCGTTGCCTAGACACTTACTAGTTAATGGAAATAATGGTCCCCATGCAAGCATTGTCTGGCTATGATTGATGGGCAGTACGATCAAGAACCTTTACAAGGACCATTATAATGGCATTCCTGAACAGGACTCATCGACTGTGCCCTAAATTGAATGGTTCCCGCACCACCGCTGTACAGCCGAAACGAATCGGCCGACGATCTTTTGCCTTGTTATTCGATAATATGTGCATACGGCTCTTTTCGACTATTAATCATGGTGCCTTGTGTGAGGTCCACGTGATCTGACGGCTAGAACATATCGGGCACGTGCAATAACGGCTCTCTCGACGAACATGCTGTGAATTCATGGCATTTGCAAATGGATCGGAAGAGAAGTTACTGCTGTTAGGTTGTCCAAGAAGAACTGCATGTGCAGGTCCGCATAATGAGTTCAGCAAGACAACGATAGCACAGGAACTGTAATGTCTCCGAAATCATTTTCATCAGGCACAGCTCATTCACTTCTTGTTAGAGAAAACACAGCTCAAAAGTAAAGTGAAAAGTCAATGCAATTATTATTATTATATATTGAAAGTATTTAGTTTTTGCATCACTCATTAAGAATTTAGGGCTCCTTTGATAAATGGTTAATACAACAAAAAATGGGTGAGCGGTTCCGGGTTCCTTACGGATTCCACCTAGAACCTGGAACCTACTCTCGGGTACAGGTTCCTCATTTTTTAGAACTTGAAACCTACCGGTCGGAACTTAGAACCTTGAATCTATCCTATCACAAGTTTTAAGATAGATTCCAGGGTCTAACAGGTTTTTCTATTTATTTATTTCATTTTTAGTTAAACAAAACGAAAATGAACGCAACAATAATAAACAAGCTTATCATTCACCAAAGAGAATATAAAAGACTAATTTTCCTGGCATTACGGTTAAAATAAATACAATTAAACTAAGAAGTCATTGCGTAAATCGATATTAGGAATGAGCGATTCCATGTTCCGTACAGGATCCACTTGGAATCTGCCCATGAGAATAAGTTTCTCATTTTTTGGAACTTGGAACCTATCCTATCACAGGTTTCAGGGTCGGTTTCAAGTTCTACCCAAATTTCACCTGTAATATTAATTGAATAATTACAGTGAATCATCACCTTTAATGACCACCACTTGCTGTTATGATCCACTGACCACAGCTTATATTTAGACACACGAAGAATATGAAATATTAACAAATCAAAAAATGAAAGCTCAAATTAGTGGTTCTAGATTATATACCTATCATCTAACGCCATGAAACACTGCAGGATCATATGAAGACATAAACAAAGAAAAACACAAAAAACTTGTTTAGATTTCAGGTTCCAAGTTCCGCCTACCTAGAACCTGGAACCTACTCGTAAAAACAGGTTCCTCAATTTTTAGAACCTAAAAACCCTGCATACCTTGGAACCTAAAACCTATAGATTCCCATTGGTCAAGTTCTCAGGTTCCATGTTCTACCCTGGAACCATGCTCACCCCTACGAAAAACTCTAAACCGGTACGCATGTGACAAATTTACCCCAAACTAATTTTTTTACCATAAAAAACCCTAAAACGGTACACTCGTGATAAATTTACCCTCCGTCAGTTTTCATTAAATTTTACTGTCAAATTACTGAATTAACTGACATGTGGCAGTTGACAGGTGTATTAGTTTGGGGTTTTATCCTCTGTTTGTCACATGTATACCAATTTGTAATTTTTCGTGGTATTAATTTAATTTAATGGAAACTAACGAGGGTAAATTTGTCATAAATGTACCAGTTTAGAGTTTTTTATGGTCAAAAAATTAGTTTTTGGTAAATTTATCACAGGTGTACTAGTTTAGGGTTTTTTATGATTAAAAAAATTAATTTTGGGTAAATATATCACAAATGTATCAGTTTGGGGTTTTTCGTGGTATTAACCATTTGATAAAACCATCGATCATTATAAGGGATGAAAATAGAGAAAAAAAAATTTCGACAATAGCTGAAAAACTTATGTGAAATTTTATTAGTTTTTGCAGGTTTTGTTGACGGAGTTTGTACTATCTTTAAAATTCACTAGACATGAATACGCGATCCCTTCTTTACTTATAAAGTGAGTGATTTTCCAACTTAATTAAGTTATTTAGGTTAAAGCTATTTATGTGTTGAGTACTTTAATGAGTTCATTGTACAAGTTTTGCAAAAATCTGACAAGCAAAACTTAATTTTCTTTAAGATTAATATCACGAAAAATTTCAAATTGGAACACATGTAAAAAATTTACCCCAAATTCATTTTTTGACAACAAAAAACCCCAAACCGGTACACTTATGACAAATTTACTCAAAACTAATTTTTTGACCATAAAAAATAAAAAACTAGTACATATGTGACAAATTTACCCAAAACTAATTTTTTAACCACAGAAAACTCCAAACTGATAATTCTATGACAAATTTAGCCTCCGTTAGCTGACAGTTTAGGGTCTTTCGTGGTATTTATCCTATGGATTTTCACATGGACTTGCCATGTCACCATACCACGTCACAATGTGTCAACCACATCAGCAAATTTAATGGTAAAATTTGATGGAAGCTAACGAAAGGTAAATTTGTCTCAGGTATATCAATTTGGGGTTTTTTGTGATAAAAAAATTAGTTTGTGGTAAATTTATCATGAGTGTACCAGTTTGGGGTTTTTTGTGATCAAAACATTAGTTTGGATACATTTATCACAAATGTACCAATTTGAGATTTTCAGTGATATTAATGTTTTTTCTTTATTAACACACCTTGTTAGACTCACCATTCAAAAGGTGAAACCATTGAATTAGCTCGGTCAACTACGTATATCAACTTCTACTTTTAATATTGGACATGTAAATCTGAAATTTTCCTCATTGTTGCAGCCACCATACTTGCACGCTTAGCCCTTTCTAGATATAAAGAAAAGCAAGCTTCAATGTTGAATTGGCTAGTAACATTTTTCAATTTTGGTAGTAGTTTATTCACGGGGTTAGTAAAATTTCATATTAAAGAAGTAGATACTAATATATTTATAATTAATGATGCCTTTATTAGACCTGATTATGAACTTTGCGTCCCATGGCTCGCCCAAGCTCTCTCGGACCAAATGGGTGCGAAGAGCCGAAGAGAACTTAATAGAGATCTTGGGGGAAAATTGTTCAAAAAATCCTAAGTCTATTGCACTTTTGCCAATTTAATTCTAAACCTTTCAATTTTGCTAATTGAGTCATAAATCTTTTGACAATTTTCCAATTGAGTCCATCCGGCTAATTTTGGCCGAAAATTGTTGACGTGGCATGACCGGTGCTGACGTGGACATTTTTAATAATTTTTCGAATTTTTTTTCCCTTTTTCCCTTTTCTTTGCTTTTTTTTTTTTTTTTCATTTTTGGAGTTAGGGCTAGCGACCCTCGCCTGGCCGAGGGCCGCAACGCCCTCGCTTGATATGGCTAGGCGATGATGGCCCCACTTGGGACCAACGAGAGCTGCCAAGCCCTCGCCTTTGTTTGGAGAGGTCACCGGCCCTAACTCCAATACCCAAAAAAAATAATAATAAAGATAAGGAAAAAAACCATAAAAATTCAAAATATTATTAAAATATTATTTTAAAATGTCTATGTCAGCGTCGATCGTGCCATGTAGGACAGTTGGCATCTACATCAACAATTTCCGGTCAAAATTGGTCAAATGGACTCAATTGGCAAGAAGTGAAAATGTTAAGGACTCAATTGGCAAAATTAAAAGTTTAAGACTGAATTGGCAAAAGTGTAATAGGTTTATGTGTTTTTGGATAATTTTCCCAAGATCTTAGACGAGACTATTTAATTAGAAGTCCGACCTGGTAAGACTGGACCTGGGACAGAAAGGCCCAGCCCAAAAATGTATATCTATAATATGTTTTTAGTATTATATACCTATTTAACTACCACCTTCATATTTTCTCTTACTCACGTTGCCCTCGGACGAAAGGTGAGGAGATTGTGATGTCTTTACCTAACAAGAAGCTTACCCCGACAGACTTGATAATACGGTTCCATTTGTTTTGCGAAAAATATTTTTCTAAAAAACATTTTCTTAATTTTTTAACGTTTATATCGCTTACGAAAATGAGTCAACAGAATATATTTACCTAGTCAACGGAAAATCAATGCTTAAATTTAGAATTATGATTTCCTCCAAAACATAACTAAATATCGACGCTTAAATTAGAAACTCTATGTTTGAGCACAAAAACCCTAACACTCATTCCTGAGTCCTTGGCAGCGGACCCGGATCTTGAAGTCGAGGTTGGGTCCACCGGGGTCAATCAAGGCTATGCCTGGCAGGTCCAAAGAGGTTGGGCACGAAACTTGGTGCCCAGGCCCAAGTCCATAGAAATTGGGCTCGAGACATCAACGCCCGGGCTAAGGTCCATTAAGACCAAGCGTAGGACCCCGGTAGCCCTACCTAGCTTCCTGGTGCCCCAGCTCGGGTCCAAAGAGGCCAAACCCGAGACTTGGATGCTCGTGCCCAAATCCTTAGCACTCGAACTTGGTCCATTGAGGTCAAATTTAAGTCCACAGATGTTGGGCCCGAGACCTTGGTGCCTATACCTCAAGTACATCAAGGCCTGGCCCAAGTCCCTAGCGCCTAGGCCTCGATCCATGAAGGTAGGCCCAAAGTCCACAGAGGTCGGACTCTGGACCCCAAAGCCTATGCCTAGATCCCCAGCAACCAAGCTTGGGCGTCGGCGCCCGTGCCCGTGTCCGAGTACATCGAGGCCGAGCCCGAGACTCTAGTGCCCGTGGCTGGGTCCCCGGTACTCAGGATTAAGACCCCATTGCCTTTGCCAGGATCCCTCGCACTCGAGCCCGAGTCCATTGAGGCCGAGGCACGAGTACCCGAGACTCCGGTACTCGTGCTCGAGACCGAGTCCCGAACACCCGAGCCTGGGTCTGTTCCTTACCCTTACCAAATGACGGAAAATATTTTCCAGTTCATTGTCAGGTTTCAGTCGAACACCGAAAAATAACTTCCTAAAAAATATTTTTCAAAAATGTCGTTTTTTTCGAAATTAGGCTCGGCCTCAGCCCCCTATCGGCTCTAATTAGCACATGATCGGTAACTACTAATCTTAGGGCATCATACTAGAAAATCACTCACACCTGTATGATGTTGCGTCGGCTCCAACGGTCGTTGAGGAGCCATTTGAGCTTTTTCACTCGAGCCACCCAACCAAAGAAACCGCCAAACCTTCCAACGAACTGCAATCTCTTCTTCTTCTTCTTCTTCTTCCTCATCTTCTTCTTCTTCTTCTTCTTCTTCTTCCTCTTCCATGAGATGACTCAGAAGATCCCGCGAGCCGTCCTCAACACTTTCCCGAACGGCAGGCCGGCGCGATCAAGGAGTCTCTACGGCGAGCTCTATCGAAGGATCGATAGAATCGCTCCCCCGGCGACCCCGTTCGACCCTCCTCCGGCGCCCCGTCTCTCCGATCTCAGTCCCGCCTTGCTCGGCCGGATCCTCTCCGACCCTCATTTGCATTCCTCGAAATGCCTGGCCTTCTTCGGGTACCTCCTCGACAACCAGCCCTCCCTCTCGTTCCGTCCGAATCTACGGTCGCACCTGATCCTAGCTTGCAGGCTTCTCAAAGCCACGAACTTTAGCGCAGCGGAGCGTCTGTTGAGATCCGTGATGATGAACCGAAGCGGCCCGCATCCGTTTACGGCCATCGCGTGCGTGATCGAGAAATGTTGCGTTAAGGCGCGAATCAGAGCGAAGCTGCTCGAGATGATGTTTAAAGTTTACTCAGAACACGGGTTATTTGATCAGGCTTCGCAGGCATTTGATTATATGAGAAAGAGGGGAGTTCAGATAAATGAGAGGGCGTGTACTGTGCACTTGCTTGCCCTGAAGAGATCTGATCAGGTCGGGTTGTGCGTGGAGTTTTTCAGCAAGATGGTGGAGTCGGGTATTGGGATTTCTGTGTACTCTTTGACTGTTGTGGTTGATGGGTTGTGTAGGAACGGAGCGGTCAAGATGGCTAGGGAGTTGGTGGAACAAATGTCAAAAAAACGTGTAGAACCAAACATTGTCACGTTCAATACAATCATAGATGCTTGTGTGAAGTGGTGGAATTTTCGCGAATTGGACTTGGTGTTGCTCCTGATGCAAAAGGAAGGAGTCGAATTCAATCCCGACACGTATATATTCCTAATCGGTGGGTACACGAGCTTCGGACGGGCGAAGGAGGCCGAGAAGTTGATAGTGAAAATGAATGATCTCGGTTTGGAAGTCGACACCCATTTGTATAATCTGACTATCTGTGCATTCGGTAAAGTAGGGTCCGCAAGAAGCGCTGTTAAGCTGTTTGATGAAATGACTAATAGAGGTGTTGAGAAGAATGCCGACACGTACTGGGCTTTGATTAAGGGGCTCTGCGAAGTTGGAGAGATTGAGGAGGTTATTCTATACGTCGGTGAGATGCGGAGAAAGGGAATTCAAATGGGCGAGGTTATGATGGAGAGAGTAGTAGATGCTTTTTGCAAGAGAGGGATGGTAGATGCAGCTTACAATTTTCTTGTTGACACGGAGAAGACAGAGACTAAGAGCTGATGTATTTGCCTATGCGAGCATAGCAAGCGCATTATGCAAAATGAATAGGAATGAACAAGCCAAGATGTTTGAAAGTTTGAACTGCAGTGAGCATTTGCCCCTCCATAGAAGGTGCTCATTTTGATTAAGATGCAGATGCGTCGGAATGCGTGTGGCTTGAAGATACGAAAAAGGATACGATCAAGTATTTTTTGCTCGTCATTCATCAATTGAGATTTCGAGTGCATTGAAGATATGTCATCTATGTGGGCAACAGAGAGGTCAGACTGGCCGAAGTTCAAGGAATTGCACCCGAACCAGGAAAACAGAGTAATGGTCGATAAATCCATGCACACTGGATACCGCATTCTATGGCAAAACGGCAAGGGCCTATATTCCTCCTCCAGGAAGTTAGGTTGGTTTACTTGAAATGGATGCTTCGGCCAACATTGCAGATTTGCTGGAGAATGGTTAGTGCAGTGAATTCGAGTCTCGAGCGAGGGGCGCGCAAGTTCGTTGCCGATCCATACTTTTAACCCCTTGAACTGAAGAACCAGAATGGTTCGTTCACACCGTGCTCTGTGACTTCACTTCTCCTTCCTCCCCTCCATTCGTGCACGTTGGACACACGCGAACCGAGTCCGTGATTGTGCTTGTGAATCTCGGGATTTCTCGTTTTTGTTCTTGAAAATGAAATGGCATGATTTCCGGAGGTTCGATTATTAATGAATTGCCAATGGGTACAGAAACCTTTTTGTGCTCCCTTTGCAGGAATTCTCTTTCCTTGGGTGGCATATCAAGATCGTAGACTCTTGCTTTGCCTATTCTGAAGAAAGAAACAGCAGAAGCAGTTCTATGACTTGGACTGGGAACAAAACACAATCTCCCATCGAAGTCTGGCACTAAGCGAATCTTTCCTCGTGATGTAAGTTAATAGCCACATTGACGAAATTGGTGAATCATTCGAAGGATGGCCTGGAAAGAGGCATCCTAAACGGATCATTTCTGAACAGACTATCGCAACATCTGAGAGAATAAAGGAATGAGATTTAAAGAATCAGAATCTCATCGTCCAACTCCTCCATCGTTAGATTAGACAGAAAATAAGAGGAGGAGAAAGAAACCACCTACTTCCCTAACCAGACAAAGCAAAGCAACAAAAGATATACACAAAGGAAACCAAACTTGTTAGCGAATCAAAAGGTCAGTCCAAAAAAAACTCTTTCCCCCTTAGCTCTTAAGGGGCCCCGGACAGAATGGCATCGTTAATTATCGACCCGTCGTTTTTCCCGAAGGCGGGTATACTTAGAGACCGTTTTCTCATCCTGGCTTTGCCGGGTGCTGTCGCTCGCCTCTCGTTTTTCTCCACAAGCACAGAAGCGTGAGAGCACAGCGGCTCAATCTTCTGCTCATTGCTATGCTTGAGGAAAAAGTCCAGATTTTTACGATACTTGTCCTCTCCCATGTTCGTCCCCAGCGCCCCAGGAGCAGGAAGTAACTTCTCTCGCAATTCCTCATCATCGTCTGACGAATACCCATTCTCCAGCACGTCTTGCATGGCAAGATCGTCGTACTCTTCGTCTGATTTAGTGGACTGCTCGTCGACCGATCCCACCTGTGAATGGCAATACTTCTACAGTCAACAAATAGAGGAGAGCACCGCAATGATGCCAGACCACTTAAGAGAGAGATTCAGATCAAAGAGTAAACTCATACCTCTTCGTGATCGTGTTTGTTAGCATCGTCACTTAGATCTTCGTCACTGTCCACTGGTGGGTCATCGGCCTCCTCATCACTTCCATGCACAGAGTGTTCTTCCTTCAGCTGAAAAGTATAACAAGGTTAAAAAAAACTCAGCAGAATTTCGCTTCTTATAAAACGACAATGCAATTACTCCCTGGGAACAAAATGCTTGTGAAGTTGTGTATTTACAGATTAACCTCCAACATACCTCCTTGGCAGGCCCATCAGACATCCTTGGTGAGCTGCAACAAGACGAATAGTATTTACTGCCATTATCAGTCCCATCAGCCCTTGATTCATCGACACTTCCAGCATAGCTTCCAGCATAGCTTGTGCCTCCATCACTGGGCCAAGCACTGATCCCAAAATGACCAAACTGAAGATTAACCGGCTCAGCCTTTCCGATCTGCAATGGACCATACATAGGGTTGCCTATTCCATTCTCACTCCCATTACTGTCCACTGAATTCACAGGCCAAGCCCTGGCAACAGATCCATCTGTATTTAGAAGTGCCATCAGATGCCTAGAAGAACCTTTTCTCTGGATCAGTTGAAACATCCCCTTAGAGCTTAAGGAATTTGCAGCACATTGGTTCCTGTACTCCTCATCAATCACAGAAACTGTGTTCGTCGTGGGATCGTAAAGCTGCTCCCCCACTTCACGCCTTCGAAGGCAGCTAAAAACCGTCGCATGGATTGCCGCCACACTCCTATCGACATTGGTGTTGTTTATTTTGGGGACCAGATGCTTGTCAGCCCTTTTACAAAGATAGTCCTGTATTGTTCTAATATTCCTTATGTACTTCACATATTTATTTTTTGCTGGGTCCAGCGTCATGTACTTTGCACGAACAGCAAATCGTTCCATGTGCTTGTCTTCATTTGTAATATATATCATAAACGGTATGATCGAGGGATGCTTCTTCATTAGCCCCATCTGCATTAAAAGGAAGGTGAAAAATCAAATTAAGCCTGAGGGGAGATCATTGCAAACCCAAAGTGTACACGGTACAGGAGAGAGAAAAAGGAAGTGGACCGGGATGAGCTTACCACAAAATTGAGACTCAAGTGAACACCTTCAACAACTACTGATTCTTTCCGCTCTTCCCAAGCGGTGATCAAACGATCGAGACTGTCAATTACCATCTCGCTTTGTGCTTTAAATCCTTCAACAGCCATCTGTTTTGGACTGATTAATTCAGATGCAGCTCCGCTTTCTTCAGATGCCGCGGCATCCGGTTTCCCAGGCTTTGATCCATCAGATGTCTCAGCCTTAACAGGGGAGTGCGAAATGCCAGCTAGTTTAGTGGCTTTCCTCTTAGCCTTTGCTTCTGCAACCGCAACAGGATCCAAGTATTCTCCTGCATGGTACGTGGAAGCCCAAAGTAAAGGGTTTTGCTTCTCATCCACAAAACTCCTCATCATGTGCCGAATGGAGTCAGTTGATATCACCGTAGTGATTCCGAGCCTGCTACCCTGCAGGAACGAGCTTCAAAAATTAATATTATAGGGAAATTGACAAAGAAGAGTGTAGACGCATCACATTCACGTTGAACAACTAACAACTCCACTTAACATCAAAAGCGATAATTGATTTCCAGTTCCAGCCCCCAAAAAACATAGAAAAATAAAAATGTAATGAGGAATGCAGCGATAGCTACTATGAACTCCCCAGAACAAAAACCGTCCAAGAAAAACTAAAGAACATTAAAGTTCTCAGCTAAAGATATACCAGCAATGCAGACAAAGTAGATTTCCCACATCCACTAGTGCCACATAACAGCACAGTTACGGATTCTTTCCTTTCTCGTATTCTGCAGCAGAAAGCCAGGAGATAATGCTTAAGAAGACATAGACCTCCTTCATGCTGTAAATGGGTAAATGACAAATCCCATAGTCCATATGGTAAGTAGCAGTAATCACAATTTGCAGAGTCAAAGTTAAGCTTTATCATAATTGCCGAAAAAGCCCGTACAACCATAATGTGCCGATCGTGCAAACATAAGCAGTGAATTCCCAAGAGTGGAGCTTATGTTTTCTCCCAAGAAGAAAGTTGTGGAGGAGGAAATATGTATTAGAAGCTGCGAGATATGAAAAATTTACCTGCAAGCTAAAACCAAGTCAGCCCTCTGATTTGCACCCACATAATTATACTCGGAAAGACTGCTGCATACAATATCTAAGAAAGTTTCTCTCCTGACAACAACAGTTCTTCGCCGCCTTTTGCACAATTCAAATGCTCCTGCTGAACTGGAATGTTTGTCTGCTGCTGCTGCTTTACAGGTATGCCCCTTTGGAGCATCAAAATCAGACGGTACCTCCGTTCCCTCTGGCGAGAAGGCATCAACAGAGGCTTCATTTCTCATCAATTCAAAAACCCGTTGGCTTATCTGGTGCAGAAAGAAACAAAATACATCTTAAACCTTGAACTACACAAGTAACTCCAAAATACAGATAGAAGACAACTCCAAGAGGATGTTATGCAACATGTTTCCTTCCGGAAATAAAAATCGCGCTCACACCGAACCTAGGAGTCAGATGAATCAGTTTAAAAAGACGCACTGAGGTCAAAAGAATGCAATCAATCAGATTAACATCAAATTTGCCGGATTATACCATGTCCAAAAAAAAGTATTGCACGAGGGACAAGCTCTGAGGTTTTCTTAATTCAGAAGCCAAAGAGGTGCATTTCTACAATACTGTTACGGCAAAAGGTCAAATAAGGCCAACAAAATAGCAGAGCACTTTCAAAAGCACAAATTGTCAGTCCTCTTGAAAAGTAAAAAGAGGTTCCGCAAGAAACAAAAATACCCATCACCGAAAAAAAAACGAAAAAGAAGAAGAGACAGAACAGCCACAAAATTAGCTGAATGACGGAAATCTCAGGCGTCAAGATAGATTCTTTCCCCCGTTCACAAAGAAATCTGAGTCGCCAATGTATAAAAGAACGTCAAGAGATGCGGCATTCTTGCTCCTCAAAAGAAGCAATACCATCCGATCATTAGCACAACGATCCACAAGATCGTATAATTCCTGCTACGGCTTGAGGCCCAACAGGGGGATACTACAGAAAAAGAAACTGAAATTTGGCAGAACAGATTGCATGCACGATAGATCTCCGCATCGCAAAGCCCCTCGCCCCACAGAACCCAACCGATCGCGGCACATGACGCAGAATTGCGAATATAAAAAAAAAAAAAAATGCAGCTCCGAGCCTCAGCAGAAAGCGAAAGAATGCGAGGAAAACAAAAAAAAAAAGAAAAGGAACAACACCCAGG